TCCGCCAGTTTCCAGGTTCCGGCGTGAGTCGCTGTTGTTGGTTACGTCTTCGAGTGCACGCTAGTTCAGTCTCCTTCCGTTTTCTCCTTCGCATTGCGCATGGAGACCCGTACGAGCAACTCGCCTCCTTCTTTCAGCAGTTTGTCACCGCAGCGAGTCAACGGGTTTTTCAGGGGAATGGGACGATCAGCCAAGATTCGAAAGTCACTTGGGATCGGCCTGCGGGGAGAAAACCAACAACGCCTCTGCTGCGCCCCTTCGCCACCCCCGAACAGAGTCACTCCTGGAGTGCACGTGCCATGCCCGACCCGCTCTCCATGTGTGCCCCGATCTCAACATTCTGTGATTTCTACGTGAAACTCCACGACATTAGACACCATGGAGACGCATCAGAACGAATCCTTCCGGACATGTTTTTCGTCCGCCTCAAGCCATGAAGCGGTGCTGCTTCACAGGCGCACCAAGGGCGTGCGGGAATCGTATTGGCAGGTGGGGTCGCGGGTGGCTGCGGCGCGATCCCGAGGTGGCCCGTGTCCAAGATGGCAGGACCTGGGTGAGGGTTTTCCTTCCGGGATCGATCGCGGCAGGGCACGACCAGGGCGTTGTCCTGCATGGCTTGCAGGCAGGGCAATCGCAAGCGCCTTGTCTTGAGCTTTGTTTGGCTTTGCGGTCGAGTCGGTGTGCAGCCAAGAGTTGTCGGGCTGGCACTGGTGTGATTACAGCAGGGGTTCGGAAGTGCTGGGTGCAAGATGATTTTAGGTGAAGGGCTACAAGTTGTGACGTTTTCCAGCCTTCATGATCATGAATGAGTGATTTGTATGTGACGAAAGAGGTTTGGTTTTTCGCTAGGAGTCGAGCATAGTCTCTCAAGCTGGTGGCGCTGAGAGGCAGTCATTACATAACTATTCGATGGTTGTACAGAACACTTGTATGGTAAGCCGCAGTTGTTGTAAGAGATCAGTTTTAGCGCATGGTTCGAAAGGTGGGTGCGTGAATCTACGGCGTCTGTGCTGTATGCACACGCCGCGAAGCACGAGTGTCGACGATGCTGTTAATGTGTGCGATACGGTGAAGGGGATGAGGAGGGTTGGGTGTGTGGGGCTTAAGAATCTACTGCTCCATACCCAGCATTACGAATGCGTTGCGAGGGGGACATGTTGTCGATGCCTTCAGTAGCGTGGGGTGGGACGCCACCCAGTTTGTGTTGTGGTTACCAGACGTCACGAGTCTCTTGATCATGGTCGACAACAAGCACGCCACCCATGTCTCTACGACGAAATGGTGAGCAGGTGGTCGTCTGCAGCAATGGCTGTCCACTCTTGAATTCCCATGGGAACAGAGAAGAAAGCACAAAGCTGTGTGAATCATTATCGTCGGACTCAGCCAACACGCAGCTGCCGAAGCTGATGACGGGGTGCTCACGAAGCAAGCATCGGAACGTCAAGGGCACCACCAGAAAGTGACTCAACAGCCAATAATTTCACATCCACACTGACACACATATAAGTCCTTAAAATTTTCCTTTGATAATAGAAGTTACAAATTTATCTCTCTTAATTTGATTTATGTGCTTATTAGTGTTGTATGTTTTTTGAATTTCATATCAACATTTCATGATTAAGTCCAATTAAGTCCAATCAAGTATATCTTGAAAACCACTTGTGAGTGATATTATGAATAATACTTCCTAATCTCATGATATTTTTAAATTTGAATTTAAAGACATAATTCTCAATTTTAAGGGGTGCTTACTTGTTCTTAAAGAAAAATCACAATTTCTTGTTCTTTAAGCAATTCATGATTTTCTAATTATAAGACATTTTGAATTTGATATAAGCTTAAAGTTGACGTCAAGAGATTTTTGGTGGCTCCATTTGAAGAATATAACAAAATTTTATGTAGAATTATGTATTAAGGGAATTAATAAAAAAATAAAAACAAAACAAAAAAAAATATTTGTACACTCTTGTATCATTCAAAAAGAATAGATATTTATTCAAAAATATTATAATATAAAAACTTGAATGGCTTTTGCTAAAGACAAAAAGAACATACATTCTTAAAATAAGATTTGGAACAAAAAAATGCTTTGATAAGAATAAGACTTACTAAACAAGAAGTTTAAAATATACCCTATCAATTTGTATAGGTTCAAGCCTTCAATGGATAAGTTTCTTAAAACTTAGGAGTTGTCATCATGACTTGACTTATTCCTTTCTAACCAAATTTATATACTTTGCATCTTATAAAAAATTGATTGTTGCATGCAATGGCTCGGACAATAAATTATTTCAATGGGTTTGTTCTTGGCTTTGTCAATAATAAGTCTTTGACATTATCTTATAATTCATTATGAAATAGATTAATAAAGACTTTATCATTTTATTACACATTGTCATATTACATGTTGTCTTGTTTAAAAATGTACTAAGTACTTGGATGTAGAAGTTAAAGTGGAATTTTGCAACAACTAAGAACATAAAAATCTTATTAAAATTCTATATAAATCTCAATTGAATTGTAAAAATTCTAATCAAACCTTAATCAAATTCTAATGAAACCTTAAAAAAACTTTAAAAGAATCATAAAGAAGTCCTAAAAAATTCCTAAAGAAATCATAAAAAACTTTGAAAAAATCCTAACAAATCATATGTAAATCTTAAAGAAATATTAAAAAGAAATTATTAGAAAACCATAGGTAAATTTTAAGCAAGTCCTATTGTTTTTTTTTTTTTGTTTTTTTGTTTTTTTTTTTTTTTTTTGGAAAAAAAAATCTAACAAACTCTATTGAAATCTTAGATAAATTCTAACAATTTTTTAAAAATACTAAAGAATTACAATTAAATCCTATCTAAATTATATAACAAACTCAAAACCTCAAGGACTAACAATTTAACTATTGATCTTAACTCAAAATTTGCATACCTCTAAATATCTTAGTTGAAAACAAGCTAAATAGATTTGAAGATGATCAATCTTGTCTAATGGGAGAAAATCTCATAGTCTATTTTGGTGTTGACTAACCTCTTTTTCAAACCTTGATGTCAATTTTCCAATGCTAATATTTCTTGTTTTCACTATTTAATTATTTTCAAATTTTGAATTATTTTTGCAATCAAGCCTACTACTAATATATCAAATTTTATCTATGTTTAATCAAGCAATTGTTGCAAATTATAGAAATCTTCATTGACTTTCCAAAATCCAATTTCTAAGATTTTGACTCATATGAATTTTTGTAACCATTAAATTAACTTGTTTGACCAAGCTCAAATATACAACATACATTTAAGACAACTATAATCACAAACCTATAATGTTTTACTTATAGATTTGCTACAAATCTCACAAAATGCTCTAAAATATAAATCTTTTTTATTTCACAAAAACTAGAGTCATTTTAAAACAACTTTAACTTAACTAAGCTCCTATAAAGCCTTTACAAATTCAAATCACCCAATATCAATGTTTGGAGAATCTTCCTTTAGTTTTTTTCTCAAATTCACTCTTTGATCTATATAAAATACGTCTATTCTAATTTAGATAAAATCTACACCTAGATCAAGTTCTATATAATTAATTATCAATGTGCTATTCAATCATTGGATAGAGATGAATGTACCTTCTTGCTTGCTATGTCTAGTCTCTATACAAAATATCACAACAAATCGTATGTTCTTGCATTTTTCAATTTTAATCAACCATATTTTTGAAGTCATGAATTTGAACAAGACCATGATTAATTACAATTTAAAATTAATAACTCAATACGGACTTTATAGATTGTAGGATATACACATGATTAGATTCAATCTAAATTCTAATTTCTAAGTCTTAGACTTATGTCCTTATGACCAAGTGTAGAAGATTGAAGGAAAACAATTGTGCCAACAAGCTGAAATCAAATAACAATAACAACAATAATGATATTATTTCACGCTTTAATAAAAATTTTATAAGAAAATAAATAAATATAGATTTATTAAAAAAAACATGGTACAAGCATGTCATAAAAGATGTTATCTCTCAAAATAATATTGAACCAAGCTGTGCATGGCATAAATCTATCAATATTAAGCAAAATTGCACCTGAAATTAAATATAAATTTGAATATTCCACAAGTATTAGAGTAAGCATTGATATTCACAACTCAAGGAAAGTATTTTTATTGTGATTTCTATAACTCGGCCAATATTTGTAAGATTCTTAACTTAATTAATTTAATGTCATTACAAGATTTAAGATTTAATTGAATAAAAAGATAAAAGAAGAATGGTAGATAATTAAGAGCCATATTATTTCTTGTTTTTCTTGCCTTCTTCATCTTAAATTCTAATTTTAAGTATAAGAATGAATAAAAGAAACCATCTTCAATATTCTTATGTAGAAATATGATAATTAATGTGAGGTGCAAAAATTCAAGATGATTTCTAAGATTCTACTTGCTGCTCTTATTATTTTTTATACTTCAATGTGTTCTTATTCAAAAGCTTGCCTTTTGTGGAGTCTTGAGTTCAATTTTCTTCCATACTCACAATCTTCATAATCTTGAATAATTTAGTGGCCATAGAACCTTAGCCTTGCATATTAGCAAAGAGCTTTAGAGTATATGTGATACATAATTCAATGCTAATACAACCAACAAGTTTAAAGATGGAATTTAACAAGGTGCCAAAACACAAAGAATTGCACAAACTCAATGAATATGTTTTTACTTCTTCTTTTAGATATGTTGAGGTGTTGACTTTTGCATGATTGCATGAAGTAACTATACATAAGATGTTGTAGATGGAAGGACTTGTCAAGATTAATGAAATAGACGACATAGTAAAGATGTGCAAATGTAAAGATATAATTGAGCTTGGATTTGTACTATGTTGTCTGTATTTGTAG